ATCAAGAATATTCGCAAGCACCTGACAAAAGCACGTCTGTGGCCTGAGCTTCAGGCAGTCAGAGAACATTAATTACAAATAATTTCTTAATGTCCTTCCCCAAACCCTCATGAATGATAGCCATTTTGCAAATTAAATCCTGCTGGTGCTTAAAGGGAACAAAGGAGACAGGTTAATCAGTAGATGGTCAGGGCAACTGTTCCACATTTCTTCTGCACTAGTAGGTTCGATAATTAAGTCTGAAACAGAATCTTTTCCAAGATATCTTTATGTTTAATAAAAATACCAATACAGCAGTCTCCCTTATCTATGGTTCACTTTCCATAGTTTCAGTTATTCATAGCACACTGTGGTCTGGAAGCAGATGATCTTCCTGATTTATCATCAGAAGACCAGTAGGACCCTAATGCTACATGACAATGCCTACGTCTCACAGCATCACCAGAAGAAAGGTCAGTACAGTAGAGATATTTTGAGAGTGAATCCACATTCACAAAAGTTTTATTACAGTATGTTGTTATAACTGTTCTATTTCATTACTAGTTATTATTGTTAATCTCTTACTGTGTCTAATTTATAAATTAAACTTTACCACAGGTATGTATGTATAGGTAAAACCATAGTACATATAGGGTTTGGTACTATCCATGGTTTCAATCATCCACTGGGGGTCTGGGAAGGTATTCCTCCTGGGGGTAGGGGAATTATTGTAGTCTAAATAAAATGTAACTTCAAATAATATGATGGTACATGCTAATTAGTGATGGGTTTTCCAAAAGAGATCTCTTCTAAGAAGAGATTGCTGTGAATTCGGGGAAATCATTTGAAAGTGAAGTAAATGCTTTATTATGCAATATTCCCCTCATTAAATGTTTATTATTATCATGATTGTTAGCAATTTAATGACATCATTTGCAAAATGTTTCTGTCTATATAATCTTTTTACTTTTAATGCATCCTTATTATCTCTTATCTACACAGCTTTCTTCCCACTGAAGTCTGTTGGGGAATAGCAACGTTATGATATTGAAGAAGTATTTCCATCTATTCTTGTTTCAAATTATGGAAAAACTAGAACAAGGAGGCAAAACTTTGGTGTTTTTAGCAAATTGTGCCTGTTACTAAAGTATCAATGTCAGGAATCCATAAAGAACACTATAAATTTCGGATCTTAACAAAGAAAGAAAATAATCATTTACACTGCCCGCATTGGCCATTTGTCTTGAGTTTTTATCTCCTGCTTGATTTATCTCCTAATGGACATTAGTTTAGACAGTAAGATATTTCCCAAGCAGAAGGAAAAAGACCAAACACGGGCTATTTGAAAATGACTATATTTGTGGTCTTGTTTGTTATTCTCGTTTTTAAAGGGATCATGATTATAAGGCATTACTCCCTTAGGAAAGAATATTTTTAAATGTCCGTTATTGTGCAAAGTAAAACTGGCATTTGCTAGACAAAACCCTTCAGCATCCCTTGCAAAACTACTAAGACACCTCTGCAACTTTCCAACTCCTGGGAGAATCACTAGGCTAGAAATGTTCTCAAGTCCTTCTCTACTCGTGGCCTCAAAAAGGGGCTGGGTAAAGAGCAAGCTCTTAGTTCCCTGAAAAGTCTCCAGTGCATCAAGTAATGAGATTGACATACCATTGTTCAGCCAATGCCCATAGACTACAAAGGTATTTTTCTTACCCACTGTTTCAAACCCTTTTGAGCCAGCAATTGAGACTGTTGGGGATAAGGATTCTACAAAATATAATTATGGATTAACACTATCACTTCTTAGAGCCAACACCCTGGAATGTATAAGCTAGTAGTCAGGCTCCTTAAACGAACACAGCTGTGACTCACAATCCCCTCTTAAACAGAAACATTTCGAAGAAAGCCTACATAAGTGTGGCAATCCAAACAACTCTTCAAATAAAATTTTAAGTTCGGTTTGAAAATATAAACTACGTGCCACAAAGGGTTAACTTGGCTTCAGTCTACCCCACCTTCCTTTCTAGGGCCAGAGTTTTGTGAGAGACAGATGTGACATTCTTAACCTACTCCATCAAAAAGACGTAGAGACCCAAAGAGAAAGGAAGGGTGGAGGAGCAAATGAAATTTAAAGAGCCAATTTTCAGTGGGCCTTCATTTTGAGAGTTGGGCTATTTTTGTGCTTGTTTTTAGCAGCGAATCAATTCCTGCCTCCATACCCAAGCATTTGTGAAGAGGAGAGCAGGGGAGCCACAGGCACAGCTGTCCAATTTACATTCACAAATGCAGGTGCTGCTCAGACACAAAACAGAGGTCAGCTGAATACTGCTCCTAATTAGCTACCTTTTCTACTAGGATTTTTCTTTGTAAAGTTATGCATGCAATTTGGGTTCAACTTAGAGGCCATTTTTAGATCCCAGCATGCTATCCACCAAGAAGCGGGATGTCATTATAAAGCATAATTTACAGCATAGTTAACTTTACATGTTTTTTTAAACCTACATTATATCTAAGGCAAATTTCTCTTCTACACACATATTATTCACACTACTTTCCATCCACTTCTGAATATTTAAAATTTAGTGTAGAAGTCAGCCAGAAAATCTTCTATGTCAGAATGGGAAGAATTTTGCCATTTTTCTAAGATTAAGAAAGTCCACAATTTTAATAATGAGGACTAAAGACTCTGTTAAATGACACAAGAAAAGAAGTAGCTATTTGCTATTTTCTTCAGTGAGGAACACCCTGGGGCTTATTACAGCAGTTCTTAGAAATGGCAGGATGGAGACTGGTATCGAATACAATCCATTAGGAAACCCAAGCCCTAAATGAAATGACCACAAAATCCTATCAGTTAACAGAAATGCAGCAGCTGTACATGTTTATTGTAATACAATAGGATATTGTTGCAGAGATAACACTCTTAAAATTAAAAAAAAAAAAAAAAAAAGGAATCCAGCAAGCAATGTGACCAGTCTATTCCCCTATTTGAAAAATGAGAAGGTATAGGGTGGCAGAGCTTTGGAATATATAAATAAGCACGAAGATCACAGAGAAGACAGGTATTGTATATACACTAATGGGCTGCTGGGATCAGCTGTCAAAGTCACTGGCTAAACTTCAAGCCACTGTGACTCCCAGCTTTTGCAGAATGTTCAAAGACCTACCCCAATAACTCCCTGCAGGAAGTGAAAGGTAAGGGTCCCCCTCCCCCTGCTGATTTCACCTGCTGTAAGTATTCCAAATACTAATTCTTATCTCGGCTCCCAGTTATCCATATTTTTAAAACAGTATGCTATGGAAGTTTAAATTCAGTTTGACCTTAAACTTTATAACGATGTAATATTACATGTTATTTTTTAATAATATAAATTTTTACATGTGGTATTATATGTACAAATTTGGTATTCTGGGCTATTTTAAAGGCTTACTAAAGCAAAACAGCTTTGCAAAATATAACATGTATCGCCAGAATTGTGACAAATTCATCTTGCTTGATTTTGTTCGCTACAGGCGGTCCATCAAGATCCAGACCCATAATCCTTCAGAATCATAGAAAGACAAAAAATCCTGTTCTCCAGCCATCTTCTGGGATGGAGTGCAAAGTATTTTGTTGTGGTAAGTAGGGCTTTGAAGATGAAAGCACTGGGTCCACTCCTGTGATTGTTACCCCAGTGCTCAGCGCTCAGAACAGGAGCCCCAGGGTCTCAGAGATCATTTTAATCCTCCTATATTAAAACAAAACGTGTCTCATGCAAGGCTCTAGCCACCCTCCTCTGGAGTCTCACTGGCCCCTCCCAAGGGAAAATGAACTCGACTGTTGACTGTCCCAAAAGAATTCCAAACAATTTCCTTACTTGCCTCCCTGTTCCAGTGAAGATTATGAGCCTAATTCTTAGAGACTGCTACTAAAATTCCACCCCGCTGAATCCTGCAGCCTAATTCTTTCAGCATTATGTTTTTTGGCAGAATGATGTGACCCAAATTTGCAGGAGATAATTTGCTGCAACGGTGCTTCTTGCAATGCAGTGAACCCAAGATTAGCATTTCAGGATTGCAAATATCAGACTTAAAAAAAATAATAATTGTTTGCTTCAAGAAAAGACAGATCGTGATCTTGTATTATGGAAATGGAAATACTTAGAAAAAAGTGGACAATTTTATGAATTAAGGTAGCTTTACAGATCAATGAAAAATAATCAAGAACTAGCAATTGACTTCAGTAATTGGTGGCAAAATGCTACAGCGGTTCTTTAAAGATTAAGAAACGAGCTGTGTGTGTATGTGTGTGTGAGATTGTAAAAACATGCAGTCCACTTCTCATCAATGGTGGCTAATACTATTCTTTAAGGATATTTTCAGATCTAAGATGTCTTAAAACAAAACAAAACAAAAACCGGTAACTACGGCTGTTCCTGTGTTCACCCACCACGCTGCTCAGAAATGCTTGGCTGTGTGAGCAATGCTGGTTCAGGTATTCACTATTTCACTTTTCTCAATATCAATCAACTTGAATATAAGGTGTCAAGAGAGACTTGACGTTTTTCTTGATTAGAATTTGCGAATCAGGTTTTAGAAAGAGCCAGAGCAATATTACCATTGGGTACAAATATTAAACTGTGTGGACTAAAGCTTTCTGGCCACACTTCTGTGGCTAGTTTCTCAGCCTTTATAAGGAATCGCTACCACTTATCTTTCATGGACTCTAGTCTATAGATTCTACTGCTGGAGAGACACTGTCACTTAGGATGGCAGCTGTGATCACCGTGTCCCTCCTCATCAGATTCTCAGTCACCCTCTCAGAATTCAAACATCAAAGCAGAGGAACTGAAGAACAGGTTACACGTTGGAAGGGGGTTGATTCCTTATTCCAAAAGGTTAAGTATGGCAGAAAAGGAGAACAGACAAAACAGAAAAAATAAAAGAAAAATGTGCACAGTGTTTTCAGCTAGAAGCTAAGAGGCACATGCGCACGTGGGCTGGCGAGGCCTGCAGAGCCGCCTCTCTCTACGTGCTCTTACCTTATTTCTCTTGAAGTAGGCTCGTCGGCAGGCCGCAAAGCACTTCTCGCTGCAGAAGCTTTTCACCTCACTTCCCATACTCAGGGAATAGCGCTTGATTCCCACTTTCTGGCACCAGGCACACATTATTTGTACATTTGACACATCATCTTCTATAATAAAAGTATAAGAAAAATGTTCATATCAGAAGCAAACATCCCTTCAAACTTAGACACACCCTCAACCTGACAGAGCTACTTGAAGTCTAATTTTAACTTCTACGCCTCACCACGCTCTGACCTCAAAGGTAGGATAGCCAGCTCTTGATAGGAGGACTCAGTGCTTGCTTTTTTTTTGGGGGGGGGGGGGTTGGCTCCTAAGTTTCCAAAAGACACCATTTAATCATTTACTTAACATCCAGAGCACAGAGCATGAATGCACAGCAAGGAGGGTTCCTAGGACGTCTTAGCCTGCTAAAAATGCATGTTCTACCCGGTTAAAGCAGGCTCGGTACTAATGAAGCTTGTAAAATGACCCGTTTCTTCAAAGGTACTGCTGAAAGCCTACAGGATCCACACTAGGTGGGACAGCCAGTGCTAACCTACAGATGTGAGGCCCCAGTGTGAACCTTGATAGTCAGGAACAGGCTCAATCTTGGCATGTTCCTTATTACTGTTACATGATATAGGGTGTTATTTACCCTTGCGATATAATGATTCCCAAGTGATGTGGCTAGTCAAAAAAGGAAGGAGGTGAGTGGCCAGATTCTGCTGATGAAAAGACACTAGCCTGGCTCACTCAGCAGTCTCCTACAACAAAACCTTCCTGCATGGGTGTCCTCAGGGAGGCACAGGCCTGATTTAAATTCTTTCCATGTGATGTAGCTCGTGTCCTGGGAAGAAGGGATGGTAATGGAGGTGTCAGCCATGAGACCTGAGGTCACACAGCCACAAAGATGATTCTCAGCTAGACTGGTGGTCCTTGCAGCTCCTGTGGGCCCTGCCACCCGTGTCATAGAGATGCTCAGAATGATGGTAAGTGGTATGCAAATATTTTCAACAATTAAAATACTGTGTATCTTTTCCTTTGTGAGAGAAGAAAACAAATTTAACTAGCAAGACAAGCCCATGCTATCACCAATATGACTGCTCAAAACAAAGACAGGCTTTTTAAAAAGTGAGTCAGTTAATAAAATGCATTGAGTAAATCATAATGCAGGTGATAAGAGTTACAACAAAAACGTGATGGTGATATTCAAATGACTGAAGTCTGAGAAATACTGGCCTGTTTGGGGGGAATAAAAGGAGACTTTAATTAGAAGTCTAAGAAATATTTTTGGGGCGCCTGGGTGGCTCAGTGGGTTGAGCGTCCGACTTTGGCTCAGGTCACGATCTCATGGTTCATGCGTTTGAGCTCTGTGTCAGACTCTGTGCTGACAGCTCAGAGCCTGGAGCCTGCTTTGGAGTCTGTGTCTCCCTCTCTCTGTCCCTCCCCTGCTCACACTCTGTCTCTCTCCCAAAAATAAATATTAAAAATAATAATAAGAAAAAAAAGAAGTCTAAGAAATATTTTCTTGCTGCCTCCTCCCCATTGACAATGTGTGTACATATGACTGACTGCCACTGTTAGCCACATTTTTTCTTCCTTTACGGATTTTTTTTTTTTTTTTTTTTTTTTTTTTTTTTTACTATCCCAGACTCATGCTCCCGACATGAATGGTAATCACAAAATCCCCAACAAGCTCTGGTATAGGGTTGTCTGATTTCTGAATAAAATCCCCCAAAGACTAATTGCTAAGCAAGGCCTGGTCCATGAGTTGTTGACATATTCATGGTTCATAGAGTCTGTCATGCAATCATTCCATTTCCAGGGAAAAGATTTGGTTTGAGGCAGTGTGGTCATCAGCCTGCAAAATTAGAAGCAAACTAATTTGTAGTGCAGTGATACGGCTCTTTTCCCCCTGAGTATCATCACTCAGAACTATGCGCAGCATTTTATTTACCTTAATGGAATAAATATTGTCATTTTAATGACCACTTTTTTCCCCACAAATTACAGAACGTGATCTATTGTTAGTTATCAAATAAGACAGTGTAAAAATGACCTTTGATATGAGCCAAACATTTTTGATAACATAACTTTCTTTAAATGGAGACATAACATGAATTCAAATGTCATACAATTACTGCATTTAACAATTTGTTCTATTCAAGAAAGCTTTGTTTATATTTTATATGGTTTCTAATATGGTATCTGTTTACATACAGACATTTTACATGAAATGTCTATAGACATGAAATGTCATAGACACAAAAACTGAACTGAACAATTTATCTCAGAGTATGAAGGAGATTTTTTAAATTAGATTAGAAATAGTACATTTTAAAAACAATTATCTGTCATTACTAAACTAAGTTGAACTGCGAGTTTCTATTCTTCTTGATTAGCTGCTTTAAAATCTTAAAGTCCTAAAAAAGAAGATGATATAGCAGAACTCTCCCAAGTGATCCATTGGCAGTAAGTTTGATTCTGGTGAAATCTGTAAGGAAAAAAGCATTTTATGGGGGAAATTATTTGGCCTCAGAGTTCAAAAAGGAGACCCCACTTCCCAAGGACCTGTTTTAGAACAACCATCAGCTTCCCCTTGAGGTTCCTTCCTTTAAACAGTCTGGTTTGGGAAACAAAACCTCAAATTTTTCCTCCTAGATCTTTAATGGATATGAATAAAATAAAGTAGCCCACTATAATGGACTAAAACTGAGATGAAAAACGGTAGAGAACAAAGCGGTAACAAGGTGGGCAAAGGGCCTCCACGAGCTGGGGTGCAACAAGGTGGCTGGGGAAAGGGCAGCTCACAGTCTCTCTGGGGCTTCCTTCCACCCCCTCCATCCCAGCCAGGCAGCCCCACTTGTCAATTTTCTAAGAGGAGGCACAGACACTTTCTTACACTAGACCTAACACATAAACAAAAAGTAGAATGTTAAGGGAGATGATTTTTATAAATCATTTATACTACAAAGTAACAATATGGGAAGATGAGACAAAAGAAATTGTGCACTTTTGTTTTCTATGTGGCAGTTGGAAAACTCTTAGAATGGTGGCTAGCATCTGTCTTGTTAAATAATTCAGTATTCCCATCCGCTTCTCATAAAATTCCATTTCATAGAGGCAAACACTTTGGAAAAATTCCATTGGATTTCTCCTTTTCTGTCATCAAACTGCTACCAATACAAGTGCTCCAAAGATGAGACAAGATTTTCAGAGATCTCAGGTACTCTGGTCTTATAAAAGCCATCTTTATTAACATCATATTTAAGAAACTAAGAACTGTAATTATCTAAGTTAATTTTTCAGCTAAAACATAGCTCAAAAGTCTGCCCCTAGACATGAGATGGTGCCCCGTCCTAAATTTGTATGACTGCACCTCTAGAAAACAGGGCTTTTCTTAAGTGCTTAAAACCAAAGGGATATGTTCATTTCAACAACCACATTTAAAAAATCTGAAACCTGGTAATTATGTGCAAGCTTTACACTGGCAAAATAGAAGGCCCTAGCATTTTAGCTTTTCTAATTTGATCTGCTACCAAAAAACATTTTTTTTAATATTTCTTCAAACTAGGGAGAACCTGACTTCCTATCTTATATTTAGGCTAACGTCTGTGCCATTAGAGACTTGAGATTACCTCAAAGAAGACTGGCATAACAGATCTTTCCTTATAGCCATTAGCCTGTGTACTTTTCATAATGAACAATGCAACAACAAATGCAAAATATTTATAGCATTAAGTCACATTCCCGAGGCGAACAGTTTGTATAACATGATAAAATTTTCATATGATAATATCATATAAATATGCATCAGTCAAAATATGCATGCTTCTATTAATCATGAAAAGTTTGTACCACCTCTTTAGGATTTAATTAAGCAAAATGTTTAGGGCATTTTATTTCCAATCTAATGTTCAAAGAGCTATAGAACATTATTCCATTTTACATTCCAGAAGAAGTTCAGATTAATTACTCTAACATGAAATCAAAATTGTATTTATTTATCATAGTGCAGAGAAGTATGAGATCAAGCATTTCTGGAATGCCTTGCTGAAGTTGTTTGAGAAACTGCCTTATCTGGTGACTTTCAAAAATAAGGATGGCCATTGGTCAGTGGCATTCTAGGGGCACTTGAATTGGCTCTGAACATGCATACCTGCTTACCTGACCAGAACACAAAGAAAGTCAGGAAGGCCTTATACTGGACCCCAAGTGATTAACCTGTAGATTTACCACGCCTTGTAACTTTCACGGGAGTCTAAGATTGAAGGAAAAATCAAGTGTTTCCTGGTGATGTTTCTCTCCTCTAACAGTTCCTGGAATGCACACATCCAGATAATCATTTCAATATTTGAATTATATTTGGGACAGGTTGCAAGGCAGTCTGATGTGACTCCTGAGTATTCTCTACAACTCGAAAGGAAAGTATGGCACAGTTGGCCCTCTGTCAATCTGTTTGTCAGAGTAGCTATACAAAGAACACATATAGGGGTGCCTGGGTGGCTCAGCCGGTTAAGCGTCTGACTCTTGGTTTTGGCTCAGGTCATGATCTCATGGGTTCATGTATTTGAGCCCTATGTCGGGTTCTGTGCTGACAGCTCAGAGCCTGGAGCCTGCTTCAGATTCTGTCTCCTTCTCTCTCTGCCCCTCCCCCACTCATGCTGTCTCTGTCTCTCTCAAAAATAAACTTAAATTAAAAAAAAAAAAAAAAAAAGAACACAGATAAAGACATGGCCTGCAAGGCAAGCAGGCAAGAAACTAGGGTTCAAGTTTGCTTTCTTTGCAGCCCTTCTTGGAACAATTCAACTGCAAAAACTTTGAGGCAGTCCAGTTTAAAAGCTTCTACAGAGTCCTATAGAAGCTTCTGTACAATTCTTTGGATTGTAGAAGTGAACATACAAGGAGACCCAGAAAAATCTAGGGATCATGGCTAGCCATTATTCAGCATTTAATGGTAGCAGGCACAGTACAAAGTTCTTCAAATTCGTCATTTAAACTTAGTCACAACCACTGCTCCCTCAGCAAATACGAACATGATCCCCACTGTACAGATGAGGAAAATGAGGTTTAGAAGGTAAGTAATTTGTTCCAAGTCACAGAGCCAATATACACTGAAGCCTAGATG